ATCGAGCAGAATGAGAATTTCAAGGTTACGAAATCACTTAATGGGCACCTATATGTCAATGCCCAGAGTAGGGGAGGCTGCAGAGAAAAACAGAGGAGCTGTGAGGAAAATTCAAGAGGGAAAGGAATCACAAAACAACAAATGGAAGATCTGGCTTCTCACATATAGAAATATCTTCTGTCTGCCTTACAACTCACGCATACACAGTCTTCAGAGTATCTGTAAAACCCTGAAATTGTAGCTGGCATTCCTGGAGGATGTGTATTTTGCAGATAGTTCATAGATGTGTGTGCTTCCCTCCCCTTCTCCTCTCCCCTTACCCAAGCTCTAATCGTGCTCATATTAAACAAGAGAGATGTTCTGTATTTTGCACATTAGCATAGCTGCAAACTTGCTAAGAGAACTGAGGCAAACTGGAAACTCAAGAAAATCTGAGTTGAGGAACCTTTCACAGAATCTCTACCAACTCTCACTTCACTGAAGGAAAATCAGAGGCTCAGAGAAAAAAATCTTAGCACAGTGATTAGAGCGAGCTTCTGACCCCCAGACAGTACAATAACTTCCAATTTCTAAATCTAAGTACTGTGTGGCTAAGAGGTCAATGTTGGATATCTTTTCTCCTGTCATTCTCTGCCTTACTTTTGGGACAGTGTCTCTGGTGCTCAGTGATTGGGTAGACTGTCTGAGGACTTAGGAAGTGCCTAAGTCTAATGGTCTATATTTTCTTCTATCTTATGGATAGTTACTATGTCCTCCACTGAAGCATGAAGGCCCATGAGAAGACCACTTGTTTCTCAGCTCCAGCCTCGTCCCAGGACACCAAGGCACAAGATGGGTTTGAGAAAGTGAAAGGCTCTACTATCAAAGTAGGATGGCTCCAGCAGCTTGGGAAAGCAGGAGGTCCACTGGCTTCATTTGTAAGCTACCACTCTCCTGCCCCTCGCTCACTCAGCCCTTGCCCATCTTCTCTTAATTAACGTCCTGAAGTGTTCAGGACACAGCCACGTAGAATCATCCTCACACAGTTCGAGTGAGTCAGGAAAAGGTAGAAGGCAGCGGAAGGCATTGGCAAGGACAGAACCAGATGCCCTTGGAGAGGAAGGACTTTAAGGAATCCACATTCTCCTAAGAAATACAATGTGCTGTACCTCCATGTTGGAGGAAAGACACTGATGTTGATTTTGTATGAAACAGAAATAAAAGGCAATGAAAGAAAGACAGATAGCTGTGGAGAAGGCTGAGTGAGTACAGTACATTCAGTGCATGCTTAAGGAGTTAAGTTCGATCCAAGCACTATCTAAAAACCTGGGTGCAGCAGCATGCACCTATAAGGGCAGCACTTTCAGAGAGAGAGATCTCTGGAGTTCTCTAGCCAGTCTGCCCAATCACTGAGCACAAGGGTCAGTGAGAGACACTGTCTGAAACTTAAGGTAAAGAGTGGCAGAGGGGAAAAGATACCTAACACTGACCTCAGCTTCCACAAGCACATACATAAGTGTGTATCTACAACACACACAGTCCTTCAATCACTCAATAAGCAAGCAAGCAAACAAGTATGAAATAAAATGGCATTTGGTCTAGCATTGGCACTAACACCTTAGACCAAGTACATTTCCTCCATGATCCCAAAACTTCCCAACTCTCAAGTCAGAAATGTTGGATGGCTTAAACTGTAAAATTCTCTCTGGTTTGAAAAGACATTCTGACTTGTCCTAAAAAGATTGCTGACTCACACTTGATAAATCAAACAACAGAAGAGAAATTTGCCTTTCTTAATGGTATTAACAGTGAGTAAATTTACCAGGTACTCTAGAGTAAGAAATAAAACAACGTTATCACATACAACATTCATTGTCAACCTGTGGGGCAACCATCTGTCTCTAAAAGTATTTATATTAAAATTCAGAACAATAGCAAAGTTAAAATTATGAAGAAGCAACAAAAATAACTTTATAGTTGGGGTCAGCACAGCATGAGGAGCTGTATTAAAGGGCCACAGCATTAGGGAGGGTAAGAACCACTGACATAGAGGAAGGCTGACCCCCTTCTTGTCTAACCTGAAATTGAATGCTGCTGAAGAGAGGAATAGCCAGGAGTCTAATACACAATTACAGGATACATATACTCTAAAGACCAATCAGTAACTGTTCTCTGTTAGGTCAAAGAATCAAGAGCTAAACAGAATACCAATTTTCCACACAAGGCTCTGTGATGAAGTCACAGGATTTTAGAAACATAGCAGAGAGGAGGATAATATATTCTAGTTATTAGACCATTCAGCAGATGACAAAACATGATCAACTGGTACAGCTTCGTCTATTAGCAGGTGCTAAAACGAGAGGTGACGCTGCCAGCTGACATCACGACTAAGGATATTCTCGCTGTTTCCAGCCCTCATGACACAACAGAGCTCACTCTGCAAAGCAATGAGAACCTTATCTATCCAAGGAACAAAGAAGAAATCCACATGCGATCACGGCTTCTATCTCCACAAAAAAAAAAAAAAAAAAAAAAAAAAAGAACAAAAAGAATGGCTGATTAATCTTATTCACGGCAACTTCCAAAAGACAAAAATTACCATTTCATAGGGCAATATAAATAAGACCATAAGAATTAATTTTGTTTTATCCCTCTAATGAGTCACCAAGTAGAAAATGGAGACAGCCAATGGTCTGTAGGAGGCTAGAGTCAGCTCTTGTTGTAGTACAGAGACCAACTATTTGGAAATAATACCTCATGTTCTTTAAGAGTAAACAGGGTGTATGATTTCAAATCCCGTGAAGTGCAGCTTTAAATAGATTTGGTTTGGAAATGGGACAAGGAACACACCACAGTGATGGATCAAGATCAAAAGCAGAGGGAAAACAATGATTACACTCATTGATATCTGCTGACATGTATACTATCAAGTCTAATTACAGACTGAAACTGCTGTCCTGTATTATTCCCACTAATACCCATTTTTACTACAAGACTGTTTTATATGTGTATGTCATGCTCTCAGAATATTTATTTCTCCATCTTTCAAAGGTTGAAACCATTCTATCCTTTAGTTCTCACCAGTTTATAAATCCAAAGCATAGGGATTACACATTCCTGGGTAGATGACTGACAAACTGATGCATAGAAAGACAGGCAGGCAGGCAGGCAGGCAGACAAACAGACAGACAGATAGACGGTCAGACAGAGAGAGACAGAAAGATGGGATAAGTAGATATCAGTAGATAGGTGGAGAAATAGTCTGATAGGTAAATAAGAAGGTAGGGAAAGAGGGGGTATAGATGAAATTTCTCATTTTAAAGAGAAATCTTTGTAATTTTTCAAGGTTTAATTAAAATATTTCTTTTTGTCTTGAGATAGATTTCAGTGGGAAAGTGAATGCAGCTAACTAAATGATCCTCAAAGCTTATTGTATCTTCATTTAATAAATGGAAACTAAGAAAAATAGGTATGTGATACTTGCAGTCCCTGGAACAGCTCTCTAGATCGCTGAAGTAGAAAATTCAGGCAGATTCACTTTTTAAATCCCCTCTGGGTTTAGCATTCTGAGGTGTCCTAGCTGGTCAGATGGTTCACCCTGGGTTAGTCAAAGGGTTACAGAGGATTCTATCTCTCTGTTAGAGTGTTGATGGTGGGTGAGTTGGCCAGGTCCCCTGAAAGTTAGCGTTATATCAGTGTCAGAGAATGTGGGAAGGCTGAGTGCCTTCCTTTCTGACTTAAAAGTCCATGTCACAGGAACGCTCAAACAGTAAAACAAGAGATGCCTTCAGCAAGATATGTTAGAAACGTTTTCATGGAGACATTTTGTATAACACAGTAAGACTAAAACAAAAAAAAATCTTATATTTCTGAAAACACATTTCTTTATAGCATTTTCTTCTGTAGGACTAAAGGAAAAAATCCAGATAGACTCACGACTCTGTTAATTCTAGAAGTTTCTCAACTCATGTCACCCGCCTGCCTCACATTTAGTATATTTGATAAGTATTAGCTTTAAAAATCATATTAGCCTAAAACTATAATTTTCATTTGATTCTAAATTGGTAATTCCTGTGATTATGGGGCAATAGCAACCAATTTTAGGGTTTTTTTAAAGAACCTTGTGAGGTCATGTTTGCAATTCATCATCACTGAAATAGTACACTGAAGTTATTAACACAATGTTCTATGGAACAAATGTTTACAGCATTCTAAATGATGACACCAATCTTAGCTTTCTACTCCAAGGCCTCAGGATAGAAACATCATGTTGACGACATCACCTGCTAGTAAAGAACTCTGGCAGATCCCACTGAACACAGCACCAGCACCGGCAGGTGCAACAGGTTGTCTATAAGGAAGAAAAGATGAGTTAAACTAAAGATGCCCCTTTCTCTTCTACCACTCTCCATTTTCTGGGTAACCTCAGGACGAAGGTCTCTGTAATGCTCTCTCTGACCTTTGTGATGCTCCACCAGCAGAGAGGCATGAAACTGTGATTGACTACCTCACTCTCTGTGTTCGTTTCTCAAGGCAACCCTGCAATCTGTGGTGCAGGGCTAGATGACTTACCGGGCAGAAAAGATACAATGACTAACAAGGAGAAGCATTCTTAGGTTCATTCAGAGGCAAACAATTCTGGCAGTCTACTTTGGTAAAAACTACACTCAAAGAAGGAGTGTGAGGAAACCAGGTGGGAAGCCTACCTGCCATGCATTGCCCAATAGCAGGATAAAACCATGGAAAAGGCTTTCCTATTGTACATCAAAACTGCAGATTCTCAAATGTCTATCAAATGTCAATTTCCCAATTATCCAGATTTTTCATTTTAGGTGCTAAAAAGATAGAAATTGAAAGAAAAAAAGTAAACCAGAAGGCAGGTTACTGTCTTAGATCTTTCCGTGAGTCCGTTGACCATAAAGTATTGCTGTGTCTCTTCCACTGGGAATCAACCACAAGTATCATAGGTTCAGACGTCTATTACGTCTTATAGGATTGTGAAGACCTCAGTCCTCTCTTACCTCCAGCAGCTTTTGGCTTTTGGAATGGACAACGGTCACAGGCTCAGCCAGACGATATGCTAGGCACTGTAAATTAAACAGACAGAAGTTACTTGTGGGCACTGGTCACCGGGTCTACGTTTATCCATCAGTTTGCAAAAACATTTCTACATCATCATATCAGTTCACCCATGAACCTGATAAAAAAAATGGGAAGAGATGGGAGACAGAACTTCACAGAGGAACAGAAAATGATAACTGGTAACTCTTGCGAAGAATTTCACAAACACAGCATGAAAATGGTCATTGTTGTTCAGAAATGATGGCTTGCCCAATAATATATAGTATGATGTAATATGTGGTAGAACATAAAGTCAGAGGCATTGCATTTTCTGCCTCATTTTCTACATTTTCTGCCTCAGTTTCTCCTAGATCATGAAGATAAGGAACACAGCTCATTCACCTGGTCTATTGGTCTTGACAGAGGAGGATATTCAAGTCAAGCTGGCACTCTGCCTGCCTGAGGAACAGGAGCAGCACATGGCATTTAGAGCCAGTTCACCTTTCTTCCTCTTACCAATGGCCTTGGACAAATTATTAACATTCTCCATCAACTTCCTCATATGAGGATTATCTATATTACCTAGTCAAAAACTGTCCTCAGCGAACCCTTTGGTGGGGCAAGGAAACTGCCCTCTATATCCACAGTGGTCAGATACAAAAGGCTAACATTTCTTTTCACGAAGCAAACAGATACTAGTAGAATATATTTTGAAATGGATATTTCCATGATTGGTGCCCCTAGTTTTAAAATATTATGAGATTATCTATATCATTCTTAAGTAGCCTCAACATACATACATAGGCACACACACAACACAGCACATGGAAAAAAAATAAAATAACATTAGCGAATCAAGTGTCCCCTCAAAGTCCCAAAATAAAGGCAGAGTTTTAGCTCCTAGCTAGTCGCATTTTCAAGTCTGTGCCAAGGGCACTGCCTTAGGCTCAAGGAGACAAAGCTGCTGACAGAATGGCTCAAACACAGGGAACAGGTTTGATGTTTTACACAGATGGACAGAAAAGTACTCACTAAAATGTCCAATTCTCATAATCCATTCAAACTGCATTAGGAAAACATGGTTGATAAGATGCCCTGCCAAAAACTCATTTCCTCCCCCAAAATCAAAACCTTAACCAGCCTTTAACATTACACTTTATTTTGTAGTCTAGAGAATACCACGCTCTCATTATACCTAAATCATCTTCATTAGACGCTTAATGAGTCCTCATTGCTCCAATTTTACAAATCTCGCAACGAAACTTCAAAGGTCACAGAGCTAACATGGAGCAGATAAATATGTAACCTTAAACTTTCATATCAAGCATTGGCCTCCTATATGAGGTGAGAAGCCACCTGATTAGAGAGAGAGACTTAACTTCAGGGACTGGAAAACAAGTATGTAAATCAGAAATTGCAATTTCAATTAAGCAAAGAATGCAAAACTCAGAAAAATAAACATCTCTGATTTTTCTCTCATATACAAAATGAAGAGTAATGATTTCAGGGAGGAAGGGAGGATTACAGGACAGAAGGAAGGATTGAGGGGAGGGAGGGAAAGGGAGGGGGAGGGAGGGGAGACAGGAGGAGGGAGGAAGACATGAAAGCTATAAAGAGTCCACTTGAGAGGAGTGGAGGAATGGTAGGAGAGCAAAAGGGAGCCAGCAGTGGACAAAGTACCAATGAACAGGGCTAAACCACATTGTATGCACGATGCAAAGTTCATGATGAAAACATGTTTTGTGTACAAACAATATATACTAATTATAAAAAATATATAATATATACTAATTTACAAAATAGCCAGAGAGCACAAAGGAGAGCCGCACGGACTTGGCATCTGTGGGTTCAGCACGGGATGACACATGACTAAGAGAGCCAGTGATAGTGCTAGGTTACCAACAGCAGTGAAGCTTCACAGATGCAGCATCCAGACACAAAGTGTTAGAAAACAAGCCACTCAACAAGGATCTGCAGCAGGTGCTTTCAGACAGACTTTCACCCAAAACACTCCTCGTGGTTCACGGGAAAGCTGAAGCCTTCCAACCACTGCAGTGCTGGTGCTCCAGCATGTGGTGTGAGTGTTATGTGTCCTCCACAGCTCCCAGGTGTTCCCGAAGGCAATGAAAATCTTCATAACCCATGAGGAGACAGGACAACTGGCAAGTCCATTGACAGCCATTGGCAATGAAACCAAATATCCTTCACTACTTCTGTGGATTTTAGGTCTGCTGACCCCAAACCTGGAGGAGATGTATCATGTCTCAAACTATCTTCCCGCTCCCAAGAAGGATGTTCTCACCTCCAGATGCAATTTCAAACAAAAATAATCTATATATTCAAGCTCAGACTTGTAAATTTTCAACCTATTAATTGGAATTTATGTAAAGCAGGACTCAGGACCTAACTGAAACTAAAATAGCATGATTCAATATTTTGTTTTATTCTAAATAAAACCACACAGATACATGAAACCTACAATGAAAAGAAATACAGAGAGAGAGGTAGAATGCCTGACAATAAGGATACGTTGGTAGTAGCACACAGACCATGGATGGTGGGAGCACATAGACCATGGTGTGCTGGGGCACACAGAATGTCATGGATGGTGTGGTGGAAGCACATAGACCATAATATGGTGGAGAGGGCACATAGTTCATGGTGTGGTAGGGGGCACACAGACCATGGATGGTGGGGGCACACAGACCATGGATGGTAGGGGCACACAGAACATGATGTGGTGGGCACACAGATCGTGGATGGTGTGGTGGAAGCACACAGACTTTGGATGGTGGGGTATCCAGACCATGGTGTGGTAAAGGGGGCAGAAAGATCATAGTGTAGTGGGGGCACAGAGACCGTGGATGGAGGGGACACACAGAACCTGGTGCACAACAGAGCATTTCTATAGGCTTTTCACAAACTATGCTTTGAATCTATCACTTCAAGCAAGAAAAAATTTAAACCCTAAAGCAATGATGCAAAAGCTTATCAACAAAAAGTCTAATCTAGCCGGGCGGTGGTGGCGCACGCCTTTAATCCCAGCACTCGGGAGGCAGAGGCAGGCGGATTTCTGAGTTCGAGGCCAGCCTGGTCTACAGAGTGAGTTCCAGGACAGCCCGGGCTATACAGAGAAACCCTGTCTCGAAAAACAAAAAAAAAAAAAAAAAAAAAAAGTCTAATCTAACAAATGAGAAGTAAGACAAAGCTCTGTAGGAAAAACCATTCTGCTGACATCAATTTAGCCCATCATTCCAGACACTGTGAACAGGGAGCATTGCCAAACCAAGAACCATAAAAGTAGAGAACTGAGCTCTGGCCTCCTCTGGAATTCCTTCCCAGACTAATGGCTAGGGCTTGTGAGGAAAGATACTTTTTTTTTTAATTTCTCTTTTCAGAAGCCTGGACTATGCCTATCAATCACTTAGAGAAAACCAAAAATTATTTCGTCTACTTTTTTTTTGTACTTTCGTGAATTTCAAACGGCAAAAAGATTACTTACAATAAGACTGATTTAGAGTAAAGGATGTTATGATGTTAAATGTGGAATTCTGTCCCTAGAGGTAACTGAAAGGTTAGATCAGAAAAAAGCATTGGAAAACAACTATGGGCTGCCCCAACTCTGATCAGCAAAGCTGAAGTGATTCCTGCCTGCATAGTCACCATCATTCCAAGACATTCCAAGACTCTTATCAAGAGTACAGCATATCCCATGGCTTATAAATGATCTGGTTGTCTCATTAAAGTCATGTTTGTCAGTTTTTAATTGCTTCCCTCCCTGATTTTAATTTCCTCACCTGTCAGCACCGATCAGAAACAGTGAAATCATCTGACATACTGGCTGATTATGTTTAAATTAATCAAGAATTTTTTTTAAGTAAAATTGCTTTGGCCTACAGTAATACACAATTTCATAATATGTTATTTAAGAGGAGTCGACAATGGACAGATCTAGAAATTAAGTGGGAAACATTAGGAATCTTAAGAAGAAATGTAAGTTACTTTCACACCTGTACCACTGGACATTAAAAGGCCTAGACTATCTTGAAAGAGAAGTTTAATCAACGAGTATTCTCAGAACAACAGTGAACAGCACCTACCCACAGGCAGGAAAAGGTATAACTATCTCAGTATATTTGAGAGTCAGATTAGGAAAGAATAAATAAAGATCAGCTTGCCTTAAATAATATAACTTAAAGTAATATATAATAATACGATGTAAAATATAATGCATAATGATCAAATAATAATCTGGCTACTTGGAAGTTGCATTTCATATTGATAACTGTTAACAGTTAGAAGTATGAGTTCCACAGAGATTAATTAGAGCAGCTACAGGAGGTGAGACTGGTGTCATTAGTAATAGTAGAAATCTTTGCATGTGACAGAGGCAAGGCTAAGACACAGAACGACAAGGGACTTTCTATTTTTTCCTTATTGTTCTTTAATGTGTACAGGCATTTTGTCTGCACATATGCTGGTGCACCATATATGATGAGTGTGACTAATGCCCAGAGGCCAGAAGAGGGCATCAGACCCTTCGGAAATGGAGTTACAGACAGCTGTGAGATGCCATGTGGGTGCAGGGAATCTAACCCAGGTCCTCTAGAAAGGCAGCAAACACTGAGCCATCTCTCCAGGCCCAGCAAAGTAAGCAGACACATAGCGATGGACAGGCCTAGTCTCATGAGCTATGTGAACTAAGCAATGCACCACGATTACCCAGAATAGAGGGGGGAATATAGACATAATTATTCAGTGCTAATATCTATCAGAAACAGTGCTTCAAACACATTTAGGAAACCTGCAAGCACTAAACTCTTTTACAGGAAGTAAATGAAATGACAGGAAAATACTCTGCAAGGCGTTCTGGCAGGAGATGATGTGAATACACTGACATTATTCCTACCCAGAAATAGACACACGCATTGATGTCATAATAACCGGGACCCAAAGTGAGCACATAATAGCAGCACACATGAATGTGACTTGCCCATCGGCAGGCTCCTGAACTA